AGAACGTTTAACTTGTCATCATTGAAATAAATAATTATTCCACTTCGCACCTTGACTAATGGCTTTATTGAGTGTTAAAGGATCTGGCATAGATAATAATAAGTCCTTGACATTGTCTCTTAATTCTCAATGAAATTAGCTCATCAATGCGTCTTCTCTTCAATTTATATCACATGCTAATTGTCAAAAATCTAAAGCATACATTGATATAAAGCATGTTCTTTGTTGAAGGCTTTAAATTTTAGTTGTTGAAGAATAAACCTTATCGTGTTCACTAAATACTTCTATAAATGCTGCCAAAAATGCTTCAAAATCATATAATATAGAAGAATTCTTTTCAAATAATGGGGTGAACTAGGATAAAGCTTGATTTGAGAACAAGATTCCAATCAAACCAACATGAGATGCTTCAATAGATTATTATTGAGATTGAAGTAAGGTAATTAACCGTACTTGGTTTGTAAAGCTATGAAATTTTGAACAAGTGCCATCAAACTTTTTCGAAAGGCTAATCCTTGATTCTTTTGTTGTTATTGTTGTCAGATCATTGCCTTGAGTGGATGTACCTCCCATGTTTGAAATAAACATAGTCATTTGAGAATTTGGAACCGTTGTTGCAATTTGATATGGTGGTTGAGGTACTCCAGCTCCTTGACCATTATGTATGGTCATATATATTTCTTCATTCTGCTTTGACAAAGTTTCTATCCTATTCTTCAATGCTTTAAGAGCATTAATAATAGAATCTAACTTGATCTCTTTTGACTCTATCATATTAACTTTTTTCACCTTTTGCCATAAAAAATCAGAGAAATACATGCCTTCAAAAGAAGAAAAAAAAAAAAAAAAAAAAAAAAAAAAAAAACTTCATCTATGATATTAAAAAAAAAAACTAAAAAAATATTGAAAAAAATAATATTATTATTCTAAAAGAAGGTAATCCACAACCTCTAGAATGCTATAATACTTCCAAGAAGAGAGATAATTCACTCTCTATGAAGAAAGACCAAGATCCTAATATTTTTTAATGGCAGTCTCTACAAACTATTAGAGACCATATACAAGACAAGGATTCAAGACCAAGAAATAGAATTTGCTTGATAGTAGAAAAAAAAATAGATACAAGGCAAGAAGGTCCTTACTAGACTATAAGAAGTGAATTGTTGAGAATGAGGATCTCCTCAGCCTCAACTCTTATATATATTAGGTCCTAGGAAGTTTTTTGAGAAGTTTCTATGAAGCTTGAGAACAAAGCAACCCTAAGATCCTTCTTTGGCAACTTCTTAAATCATCTAAAGCCTCCTAAAATCTTTTAGGATCTCCTATGATCTTCTAGAACTTTCTTAGAACCTATTAGAACCTTTTGGAAGCTTTTGGAACCTTCTAGAATCTTCTAAAACCTTCTTCAGTTGTATGTCTATGATAGTTGCTAAAACTCATAACAATATTATTAGTAATCTTGGTTCAATCCAAACCATTTGAAATATTCTCAAGAAATGGAATATAAAAGCCATGGTAAGAAAAAAAAAAAAAAAAAAAAAAACCACTACTATCTACTTGCTATTAAAAATAATATTTAGATTTTGCTGTAAAGGACTATGGAAGATTGGAAGAGGGTTATTTGGTCAGATGAGATAAATATCAACAAATTTGGATCAGATGGTAGAAAATGGGTGTAAAAACAAAAAAAGTCAGTCCTCATTTGATAAAAAGATTAAAAAAAATAATTAAGCATGGGAGTGGAAATATAATGATATAGAGTTATATGGAATAGAATGAAATTAGGAAGATGGCAAAGATTGAGGGGAGGATGGATGCCAAATAGTTCTTTAAAAAAATTTGCTTCCTAACATTGAAGAATTTAGTATTTTTGAGAAAGAGATGATTTTTCAACAAGATAATGGCTCCAAGTATAACTCAAAACTAGCATCGAAGTAATTTGATCATTATGGGATTAAAATAATGAATTTTTTTTCTTATTCTTCTAATTTTAATTCCATTGAAAATCTTTAGGAGTACCTTAAATGCTAGCTGATTATTTGGAAGCTAAGACCAAAGGGAGTTTGGAAATTATGAAAAATAATAGCTATAAAATGGAATAATATTGAAGCAATTTTGTGCCAAAAGTTTAAAAAAAGTATGCCTAAGAGGTTGGAAGCAATTATCAAGGCCAAAGAAGATCCTACAAATTATTGATATGTAATTGGATACCACACTCAAAAAAATGTTTCAATACTGTTTCAAATTAGATTGGTTATATTTCCACAATTACTTAATGGATTCTTTTCAACTTAGGCTCATTTGATAGCTATAAAAGAGTAATTTAATTGCTATACAAATCACGTGTCATTATTTACTAAAATTTCTCTATAATACACCATTCTTTTTAAAATATGTCAACATTGAAACAATTTTTTGAGTCACTGTATCTTTAAAAACTAACTTACAAAGAATGCAATGGTGAAATTGAATTTAAAAGCCTATCAACTTGAATAAAGGAAAAGAATCATTAATTATAATATTTTAAAAAATAAATATCTTTTAAATCTTTGTTGATATTTAGAAGTATAATGGCATCCAAAAATTGATAAATGTTACAATATTTATTATCAAAAAAAGTAAATTAATAGCCACCAATTGAAAATAGAATAAATTAAAGAATTTTATTAGTGAATTAAGAAAAATGGAACTAAATTTATTAAATAAAAGTACAAGTATGGATGTAATCTATAAGCATATTTTTAAAGATGGATTATTTTAAATACCACATTTATATCAATATTGTTAAAAAATAGTCAAAGATTGTACTAGACATCTATTAAGTTTGAAAATTATAGGTTCTTTTTTAAATAGTCAAATTAGAATTTGTATATAGGAGCAAGCTTTGTAAAGGTTGGAAAGATCTAACATATATTTTGATTCTAAGATATTTTTAAAGCCTAGTTTTAATGACCTTAGTGAAGAAAAGAAGGTAATATTTTTGGATATATAATTTTTATTTTCAAAGATATGCGAATTAAGAATAATTTTAAAAACAAAATTATAAAATTTTGTGAAGATTAGTTTAAAAATTAAAAAGTACTGATTATTAGATTTTAAAAGAAATTAATGAGAAATTCAAATAAATTTTTTTTGGTTTTAAGTATATATAACTTATTACAAGATATGGAGAAAGAAAAAAAAATTCAAAAAAATTAAAAGAAAAATTCAAAAAATTCAAAAAAAATTCAAAAAAAATGAAAATAGAATGAAAGTTGTAGATTATTTATTAATTAGTAACTATAGGTATAATTTAAAATTTATTAAGCTAATTAGTACATGATATATATATATATATATATATATATATATATATATATATGTTAGATTCTATTATTTTGCATTAAGTATGAGGTATTTAAAGTTATTTAGTTCAAGAGATTGTTCAAAATTTAAATACCTGGATTTTTATGAAGGTGAACAAATGATTTTGGAAAATCTTGATTTCGAAGGATGTACAAACTTAAGGGATATTATTAATTTACTTTTTTTTGATAAGAATACTTTTTAATATAAAGATGTTAAGTAAATTAATGATTTTGAAGGATGTACAAACTTAAGGGATGTTATAAGAATACTTTCTAATATAAAGATGTTAAGACACTTGAATATATAAAGTTATAAAACTATATGAAATATATATAAGAAAGTCCATTTAGAATCTTTTTTAATAAAAATAAACTTATATCAATACACAAGTTTGTATACAATTAAAAAAAGGTTTTAATGAACTAATATTTCTTCAAGAAATTAATCTTAAAGTATGCATCAACATAGGAAAGATTCATGACAGATTTGATGGCATGAAAAATTGAAAGATATTATTATTTGAAGTATGTGAGAGTATGGAAGACAAGCCTTTGAAATTCCTTGATCTTTCATCTTTACAAAAGTTAGATCTAACTAATTATAAGAAGATGAAAATTTAGAGTAATTCCTATTATAGGTTGATATCTTTGATAAACTTAAATCTAAGTGGTTTTTTGCGATTAGAAGAAACTTATAATAGATTTAAAAATCTCATAAATCTTAAAGAATTATAATTGTGAGAATGTAAAAATTTAAAGAAGATTCATGTTAGGTTTGATGGCATGAAAAAGTTAAAGATATTATTATTTGAAGGATATGAGAATTTAAAAGATATACCTTTGGAATGACCTAATCTCACATATTTAAAAAATTATATCTAAATAAATTTAAGAAGATGAAAATTGAAAGTAATATCTGAAATAGATTGACATCTTTGACAACCTTATTTCTAAGTAATTATTTGCACTTCAAGGCAATTTACAATAGATTTTCAAATCTCATAAATATTAAAGTGGTATATTTTGATGAATGTAAAATTAATAAAAAAATATTTATACTAGATGTGATGGCATAACAAAGTTAAAGATATTAACATTTGAAGAATGTGAGAATTTATAAGACATGCCTTTGGGATTACATAATCTTTGTTTTATAAAATTTGGCTTTAAATACTTTTAAGATGAAAATTAAGAGTAATGCGTTCGATGCATCAACATCTTTGATAATCTTATTTTAATGAATGTGAATTTATGAAAATAATAAAAAGATTCATGCTAGATTTGTTTATTATGGAGGTGAGCATTTGGCAAACATGCCTTTGGAATTGCCTAAATTTTTCATGCTTAGTAAATTACTATGTAAATAATTGTGAGAAGATGAAAATTGAGAATGATGCCTTTGATGCATTAGCATCATTAGTAATCTTAAACCAGATTTGATAGCATGAAAAAGTAGAAGATATTACTATTTGAAGGATATGAGAATTTAGAAGACATGCCTTTGGCAATGCCTAATCTTTAGAGCAGTTGGCACTACATAATTATAAAGAGAGAAAATTGTTAACATACCAGCACTTACATTCAACACTCCTACAAATAACAATACATGAATTTCCACTTTACATGCCCTCAACAACAATGCGGGACACCAAATCACCAGAACAAAGCTGCAAGCAAGCTCTCTTATTACAAAACATATGCAGTATCAAAAAAAAACTTATACCATGCCGCTAATGAGATCCGATAAGAAGGGTCAGAAAAGATCAAACCTAAATCAATAATTGATAAAATCTCTGAAGAAGAATGTTAATTGTTAACGATGTAAAAAATGGTAACTTTGAACTTGTGCGAAGACTCCGAGATGGCTTGTAGCAATCATCAAGGCTTTAGAATACGAAAGCAGGATTTCAATCTAACACACCACGGTCACTTTCAATGACCAACGAGAACAATTGCAAACAAGTTATACGGGTACAAGTGCTTGACACGGTTATGTCGAGGTTGGGTCTGTAACGAAGCAATTGTCTGTCTGCACAAATAACACGACGAGAGTATAACCTTGATTGAATGGGATGTATAAATTTGCAAGCATAGGGAGTGTTAGCGATTCTACTCACGTTGAGGATTGGAATGTAGCTCCGAAGTGCAATCATGTCATTGTTCCGGAGTCACATTGGCTGAGGAGAGGGTCAATTCACCTCCAATTTTTCTCGATATAAGAATCACCAAAATTTTCCACCTTCCAGATGATCCACCATACTCCTGCACCTCGCTCCTACATTTCGAAAATAATCCACCTGGCTCAAGCACCTAGCTCAAGGTCGCCGCTCTTAATCCAGACGCAGGAAGATGTGCTGCGGGGCGAAGAGCGCGACGATAAGAGGTGCGGAGATTCCGCGAAAACCACGACATTCAGTGTAATATTTTGGGCTGAGGCTCCGCCTCTCTGGAGGGAGAAAGGCGAGCCCAGCCCACGGGTTCTTGCGCAGAAGGCTCGTCGGGACTCGGGACATCAGCTACGGGTGTATAGACATGTGAAGCTGCTTCGTAGAGTAGTATGAATCAATCAGAAACAAAGACATCTCCATTAGATCCAGGAAGGTGCATAGATACTGAAGCGCAGTGCAGGCAACTAAATAGTATGCAGTTCACGTAAAACCTTGAGACCACAGATTCTGAGGGTCTGTGCATTCGCGAGGGGAACTATTGGAGCACAGAATGGAGAAAATGACAATGACAACTACAACAGAAAAGATGACGACCACGATCATTACAGGCCAGTAGAACTCGTCCGAGTGCTTTGCCTTCGTGCGGTCCCTGTCAGTGATAGCCTTCTCGTCAAGCGACTCAAACCTAAAATTACTCCCCATCAGCTTGAGCAAACCAATCTTCCCCTTGACAACCTGCCATCCATCGCAACGCATCATCGACCTGAAAATCTCACAAAACCCAGACTCGAAGTAAATTTGTAAGAGTTGTGCTTACATTTGCATCGTCTTCTTCCTTCTTGAGCTCATGCTTCAAGATGATGTAGTCTTTGAATTTGTTGTGAACACTGACGACGGTAGCGCAAGAGGCGAGAAATGACAACAAAGCCGGACCCCAGGCAGTGTTACAGGTGAGAGTGCTTGCTTGCGCTGCAGCGCCTAGCACCACCCCCTGGATAACACTATAGAATTCTATCAGCTGGTAAAGCTCGTTCTTCACATTCAGGCTCCGCTCGCGCTTGACCTCCACCCTAGAGACTGCCTTCTTAAAGTTGTTCTCCCACTCGTTTAAACTCAGTCTCAGCTTGTCGTCGTCATCAATTTCTACCAAGCATTTGGCTAACCTCTCGTGTAATGGGAAAATGATTGGCCCCTGATCTTCACCATTTTCCATCTGATTTTTACGAAAAAATAATTACAAAATCTAAAGCAAAATGCCACCAAGGAAGAGAAGAACAACGCAGTAAAATACCCAGCATCCAACACTCTCAGAAGAATTTCACCCACAAATCATATCTCAGAATCTTCATATTCAAAACAGCCAAACCCTAAAACCGGAATATGCACAGTCGGTCCAAGCATTCGCCACTCCCTCGATAGCACCGACTGATCCCTCTGGAAGCTTAAGGTGGTTCGATCGCCGCGGAGGAGATTGCTTTAACCTCTGGAGTAGAAGCTCACGCAAATGCACCAACCGCGACGAGGCCGATCATCAATCATCCCTTCCCCCGAAACTGAAGGTGGGGCACGAGATTCCATCGTCGTTTACATCCGACCACCGCTGAAATGGTCATTGGTCTATCAATCAAGACAACGACGCCCATTTTGTTCGAAGATAATTCTTACCTTATCAATTCTTTCTTCGACGTTTCATGTGTCATGTTCATTCGGACTTCTCTCATACAACCTACATTTCCCACCAAAAAAATTAAAATTAAAATTACTGTATTAAAATAAAAATCCAAAACCAAGCATTGAAAACTAAATTGAAACGAAGAAATAAATAAATAAAGAGGTTGAAGTCTCTTAAATTACAGATTATAGTAAATGGTGAAATTTACTATTAACCATAGTCTACCTCATGCTGTTGTGTCTTGTTTTCATTATTTTACCTCTCGCTTCGTTTTCTGTAGGGAAAATGTGGCTATGTGATTGAATTTGGCCCAAAAATAATGATGCTCTAATTACAAATTGATCCTCTGTTGTCTGCCGCCCACTATAGTCCCTGCGTGATGCGGAGTTCTTTCCAGCGGCAGGTGGAGGCAATCCACGAGACACATTGTTGGCAGCTCCTGGTTTAAACGATCCATGTCGATCAAGGAAGGGAAGAGGGAAGGCTGCAACGTCGGAGAATGTACCATGCAATGACGTGGGTGAAATTTTGAGAGCAACTACCACAGGCGCGTCTGCAAATCCTTCACCACACCGCGTGAATATTCTTGGATGTTGGGTTTTGATCTCTCATTCCCGGCATCACCCAGGACTTAGTTCGATTGCCGTCAACTTGGACTCCCAGTGTTGTTTATTCTCCGTAGATACCTCGAAAGTGTGGGAATTTGGTGGCGGATGCTCGAATTTAGATTGCGGGTGTTGTCAAAGTGAAGTGTGGTGTGGGAGATGGTGGGCAATCCACCAGTTCTTCCTGTTGCACAGCATTTAGTGGCTCTCATTAGGAGTGGTCGCTGTTGTTGTGATTGAGAAGCTGCGGGTGCTTGATTAGAGATCTTGGCGTTAACACGTTGCAGCTGAATCAATGGAGAGTAGAGCAATGTATGAGGGCCAAGCAATATCCGCGGAGGGGGAAACAGGCCTAAGGTTGGTGTTTGAGATTGGTGTAAACTCACGCTCATGATCGAAGAATTTCTGTTTGTAAATAAGCTCGAAGTTAACTTACCGAGTATCGCCAGGCTGTGGATGATTCATGAAACCGCTTGGACCATTTCCTATCATTTCCAATCTATTTCAGTTTCTAACTGCTACTTAAGCTAATCTTAAGAAACTTTCAAGGTGTTATCAATTTTCTCTTGCACATCAGACAAACTCAAAGTCGCTTGCAATTGCTTGTCATTTCAAACCACAGATAAAACGAAACCTAGGAGCAAATTATTGAGATTTCGGTCTGTAAACCACAGATAAAACGAAACCTAGGAGCAAATTATTGAGATTTCGGTCTGTGAAGGCACCTATCACGAGAGATGGCAGACTCGAATGCAGCTCACTTTAGATGCAAACAAATCACGACGCAATTGGTTCAACTGAGACGCAGCCCAAGATGTGCACGAAGCCCAATGAGGCGCTCCACGTCTTCGTGGAGTCTACCTCGGAGGAATGGATCGAAAGCAAAAAATGTTAGCGTAAATATAGAAGTTACTCGTAGTAGAAAGTTAATTATAGCAGTTCAAAGATAACTCTAACTGACAGTTGCCGCTGTGTCTGACGGTGAAAGTAATCGACTACCATGTCAGCAAGTGAACATATGTACCTCACTGTAGACGAGAATGTGTGTACTAGTTTTTCTAATTAATATTCTGTCAATATGAGGTTATTCATTTGGATTACTTCTTCGTACATGGTATCAGAGCTGAGGCGACAAGACTGAAGCGAAGAAGGTATGTTATTTGTCTATATCGAAATTAGTGTTTTTTTATTGTGTGTGTGCTGGTTTTTTTATTTTCTACTCAGTTACTAAACTACGTCCTTATTTGATTCTGAGTTTGAAAAGTATTGTTGATAAGTAGTTGTATTGCTGTTCACTGTACTTTCAAAACTAGTATATTTAAAAAAATGTAGAAAGATGCCATTCTACTTGAAGAGATCAAATTTTTGGAGTAAAAAGAATTCCATCTTTAGAAATATATGATGACTCATGTTGAAAGGTGAAAAGTTATGATTTTTGTTAAAGTATATAAATAAATGTGAAAGTAGAATAAGTAACATTATAAAGAATATTACTTTAGGTAAGTTACTATTGGTTAAAGGGTTGGCTCTTAGTATGTAAGAAGCCCAAGAGAGGAATTAGATGAATGGACAAAAGATCTAAAGAATATAGGAAACATGTTAAAAATATATTATATAATAGATAAGATAATAATAGATAGCCTTAATAGAATGTTAGATGGAAGTTGACTATTAAGGCAACAACTACCATCTATAAGTAATAGGTATTAAAAGTGAGAAAAATCTTATTCCATATTCTCTTTGTATGCAATTTTGTTAATGTTAAGTGTTGTCACTTCATAGTCCTTGTTCTTCATTAGGTTGTGGGCCCACTCACTTTTAGTTGTGAGTTTTGAAGTTCTTTAAAGTCTATCTTGTTGTACGAAGTAGTTTTTTTGGTTGTTGCTAATGTTAGAGTTTGGTATCATCTAACTCCATTGTTGCATCTAATTGTTGATGTAGTTTTGCTCTTACTTGCTGTTAAATGCATTGATAATCTTAGACATTTTTAAATACCTTAGAATGATGTTTTAAAATACTAGTGTTGTGTTTTTTTGCTGATTCACATCATTTGTGATCTAATATTGTGATTTTATGTGATAAACTTCTTTTGAGATCCTCTTATAGTAATAAAAAGTATTTTGTGAGGTTAGAAGTATTTTATGAAAGAAGAGAGGTGATTGAGGAGTGACAAAGCTTAAATAAGAGATTTAAATAGAATATAAGACTTGTGAGAAGTCTTATAAGTGAAGTTGAGAGTGATTAAAGAGTGATATTACTAATTCACTTATAAAGAGGGCATTCTCAGTTTCTAAAGCAGCAACATCTTCTTGTTGATTTCCAGAGTTTTTTTTTTTTTTTTTTTTTTTTTTTTCTTTTCTTTAATACATCTCTTTTTTAGACATGGTTTCAAGTGAAGGTGAAGATTTGAGAGTAATTGAAAAGTTTAAGGGTGATAACTTCTACCATTGGAAGAAAAAAATAAAGCTCTTATTGGTTTTATTAGACCTTTGAAATATTATGGATGAAAGTAAAGAGCCTCCACGTGATGATGCTAATGTCAAGATGAAGAAAGAATATAAATATTGTGAAAGGAAGGCTTTTTGCATGATTACATTAAATTTGGATGATACGAATTTTTTACATATAATTGCTTGTAAGAGAGCAGCAAAAGCATAAAAGACTCTTTACAATATTTATGAAAGTAGAAACCTTGTCAATATTCTATAGATAAGGATGAAGTTCTTAACAATAAAGATAGAAGAAGAAGATGACCTTTTGGCTCATGTCAATAAGGTAAAAGTACTTGCAAACTAATTAGTAGTTGTTGAGAAGCTAGTTGATGATAAGAACATTGTATTGATATTACTCATGAGCTTTCTGAAGTCCTATAACTACCTCATTGTGGCATTGGAGTCTATTAATATAAAGGAGCTTATCATGAATTATGTCATATCAAGGCTTGTCTATGAAGTGACCAAGTATTAAGGACAAGAACTCGATGAAAAAACAATTCAGACAAGTGTGCCTTCACTCAAAGAAAGGTAACAAAATATAAATAATAAGTATGTATATTGAAGGAGAAATTAGAATGGCTATTGCCAAAAGACAAAGAAACTAGAGATCCTTGAAACTAGACTGGAAGCAAGAAAGGAATTGACAAGAGTGAAGAAGGCTTCGCTCTTGTCTCTATATATACTATCTAACTAGTGGCTATGTGGCGACGTTCTATAGGACCTCCAATATGTGTTGACTTTGTAGGACACATGTCTTGACTTACAAGGCAAGTTTTTCTACTTGTGGGCCACATAGTTAGCTTGGTCTTCAAGTTAACAATATGTGTGGTACATGGCCAACTTGCTGATCACGTTTCTAATCCAAAAAGTCAATTAAAGACACCTATGAAGTCAAAGCAACATCTATGAATCTTCTAGGAAGCTTCCATATTAAATACTATAGAATTAACTTACTTTTACCTACTTTTATTTACTTCTATATATTTGTATATGTAATTATGAGTATGTCCGTGACATTACAATTTCTTCTAAGGACGAGTTCCACAAGGAGTGGTCATCATATGTTGAAGAAATCTATGATGCGACGAATTGTATTTGCCACATACTCTGATCTTTGTTCTCTTCAAAGATGATTGATAGAGCCTCTCAACCATCGGTAGTATCTCAGACCAGGGCGGGAAGACCACCTAATTATTTGATCATTGTTGAGGCCTTCATAACTTCCTTCGAATAAAACATTTGGAACACTATCAGGAGTTGTTCCTACCTCTAGCAAAATCACCAAACATCGGGAGTCCCTTCCTAAGTCATGATATCAAACACGTTGTACCTTGTCATCTATTCAAAGAAGAACATATCATTCTTGAAGTTTTTCATCTCGATTGCATCATCTTGAAGGTTGTGACAATCATAATGTCTCGTCCGGCATGTCAACAAATGAAGGTTCTTCACTTGAATCCACTGGTTGTTGGTTCTCCATCTCTTGAGCGTCACAACTACAAAGAAGCTACAAACAAGGATTGAAAGTAGAATGTTAACTTGCCTAGATGTTGTTTCTTTTATAAAGAACGTTTTCATCTTAATTTTGATGGATGTCATCGATGAAAAGCCTCCACTGCCTTTGCTGCATTTGCAAGATTCTTTACTGGCTCCCATGTACGTTCACTAATATCATATCCGTGCCAATGGACAAGATCTTCTAATTTATTTTGGCGCCGCCTTGAATCTAAGACTTCTTCTACTTCAAATTCTTCATTATTGTCCATTTTTATAGGAAGAGATGGACCTTGTCGTCTTTTTGGTATGTCCACTATCTTGTACTGTTCAAGAAGAGACACGTTGTCATACTGTAAATGCTTACAATATGTAAAAATTAGCTAAAATATATTATATGTTGATAAATCTAGATGTGTGTTAGAGTGGCTAGTAGATTAAATTAAAAGGATTTGATATAAGAAACTTTACTTTGTTTCTTTACTTCTTTTGATTTTGATATTAAAAAATATATATATATATATATATATATATATAGGACCTAAATGTTTAGTATGAAGCCTTGGGAGAAGGTGGAAACCTAAGGATGAAAATCTAAACTAGTAGGATGCTAATTGAAAGGGATGAAAGCAAGGCATGGTCGGATGAAGGCAAGGAATGGAGAACTTCATCCCTATTGGTTGAATACCATGCCCAATAGGCTTCAAGAAGGCTGCTCCCCAGGCCTTATTAGGGATTAGGATTCCTCTTTCGAGGGCATTCGGAGATTAAAAGCTAGAGTTGTAAAGTTTAGGATTTGGAGAACAATTTGTGTACAAAAATTAGAGAATTTAGAGTAAGGATGAAAAAATTATAATCGTTTGAAGTTAAGGTGTATATTTAAGACATACTGTTACTCTTTTGAGAGTATGAGGAGTTTTACAGCAGCTTTTGAAGATCGGAAGGTGCGACTGGAACGGCGATTTCAAGGCCTATATCTTTTACGAAAGAATTATTGCTTTTGGAGTTCATATGAAGGAGTTGTAAGGAGTTGAAGGCAACGCTTCCAAATCAAAAGGAGTAAGTAAGTGGGTTTGTTTGTAGTAATGGTTGGAGCCATAACTTGAGTTTTCGGACGAATTTTTGGCTCAAAATTTTCGAAGAATGTAAAATTTTGTGTTAAGAAGCTATACATACAAATTTCGTGGCATTTTAGTTTATATTTTGTGAGATATGAAAAAAATTGCATGGAGATGTATAAAGACAAGGGTTTGAAGTGACTGTTAGGGATTTCAAGATATCTCAAGATCTGCAATGAATTTGTGGTTGAAAATTGTTGTAGAAGTTAATAAGAATACATCAGTACCTTATGTAAAATTTGAATTTGTTTGGACGGTCGGATTAAGAGATATGAGGTGTTGAAGTTCGGGAAAATCTCCACATAAGAATAAACAAGGATTTAGAAGATTTTATCATATTTTGGAAGTTGTGGGTTACTTGAGGATTGTGTATTTGGTATAATTACTCAAAGAGAGAAAAATTATATATAAACTTAGGGTTTCCTTTATTTTCAAGCTTGATTGAATAATTAGTGACAACCAGAAGCCCAGCATTTTCTTGAGGCAAACTCTCTCTACCCCGACATATTGGTGCTTCCACTGAGAGAGCCTTAAGACACTCATTTTTCAACAAGTTGAAATGGGGGATCAAAATCCTAGATTTGGATTATGAGGAGGAGTGGATGCTCATGATTTATTCAGGGCATTTGCTCAATTTATGGAAGAAAGGTAACATGTACATGGAGAGGATAGAAACACTACTAAGGCCTTACAAGTAGTAGTGGAAAAAGTTGGGAGGTTTGATGGAAGGAATATCACGAAGTTCTTAAGGATTTACACATGTGAAATAGAGGTGCATCAAGTTTCAG